GCAGCAAGCAATTTTAATAAAGGGATCCTATAAGACACCCTACATCTCTTATCCTGTTCATTAGGATTAAAATGACATGATATATGATGTATTTACAGACTTTGTTGTTTGAAGTTGCAAATCAAATAAGTGGACCTGTTGCCAAACATTTATCACACAGATAACACACTGATCGTAATTCAGCTAATTTATGATTTTAAAATCATCCTTAAATTTTTCATCACTTTTAAACAAACAATTTGATATGTTTTTCTGTCACTGTTTGTACAGTACATAATAAATTCTCTCAAATGCAAATTCTTAAACATCAAAGATGGTAATAACTGGTCAACCTGCAGTAAACCAATGCTGCTCACTTGCACTTTGCTCGTTAAACAACCAGAATGAATTCATTTTTTCAATTCCATACATTTATCAGCACTATCTCTAAAGCAATTTATTTTTATAGCCTCACACTTGCCCCTGATAAGAAAATATAACATATATTACATATTCTATCACAGGAGTGGAACTATTGTTTATTTGTGAATCAGTGTTATTGTTTGTTTCCCTAATAAGATAAAGTGCTGCAATATTGACAAAATATTAGTCTCTAGTTTTTCATTTATATAATCGGCATTTCCTCATTAAAATGGCAGCACTTTCCAAAACAATCCCAATATTACACTACACCATGTCCCAAGCACAAATAGTGACAGAAGTGCATTCATAGCCATCCAACCTTGCTGTCTTCTTTCAGCAAACTCCAAGTGATGAACTCCAGCAGTGGCATGAGGGAAACCAGCTTCTTCTTCTTCAGTCCCAGGAGACGCAACAGCCGTGCCAGTTCATCTCCCAACATTCCAGAGCTCTGCATTTCGACAGAAAGAACAAATATAACTATATAATATATATATAATATAATAATACTTTTGATAATCCCTTCTGATTATCTTATCCATTAGGCTAGTTAAATGTACATGCACAGTATATTAAAGTGCCATTTTACAAGTGGACACTTTGAAAGATAAACTAATTCCACGAAAGCAGAAAACCATGACTGGACTTAGGACAACTTAATGTGTTTGTGACAACGGATAAGAGACCTGATAATATAGATATGCATGCTGTCCCACCTCTGACACACTCTGTATCTCTTTGGCCCACTGCGTGATCCTCTTCTGTACCACCTCACTCTGATCTTTATCCTCCTTTGTGTCCTCTTCCTCCTCTTGATCAATCCTCTCCTTTATCCACGGATGTTTTTCAGACAGCTGGGTTCACACAGGCACAAAGAAAGCTTAGTTTGAGCAAGCCATCATATATGATGAACAGAACAGTGTGATTGAGAAGTTTGTCTTTTTTTATAGTAAAGTCAATTTCACCTTGTCTACACTTTGAAGTTCACTGGCCCACTGCACAATAAGCTTGCGACTCTCTTCAAGACTGCGCTGAGTTCTGGGGTCTGTCTGACGCTCTGCCTGCCTGCTGCACCCTTCACCAGGATCATCCTCATTCTGTAAATCACAGACACACATTTATGGATGTGTGATATATATATAGGAAGCATGTCGGTTATCAGATGATATTAGATGTTTGTCTCATTTATTATCAGTTGATTTTGGATATTTAATTGTGCATGCTCACTTCCCGTATTTTTACATTTGCCGTCATCTAATGCTCACTTAACCTTTAAAAACACTGACAATTTTATAGCACTGTCAAATGTAATTTTTTTTTGCACATTTTTAAATGAATATCCATTTTTCATACTGTACATTATAATGTTGTGATACCTAAATTTACTTGTAGCATTTAAAATGATTTTAGTTCTTAGTGATTCATCATTTGTTTATTTAAACAAAATAGTAAAGATATTGTTTTCATATTGTCTGTTTATCGGTTATTGACCATAACATGACTACAAACTTTGGCTTATCACTATCGGTCTAAAATCAGTGTAGCCCTAAAATCTTTCTTCCTTTGCCATCTCCCTGATGCAATTTTTGTTCTTGATGTCAGAGACAAAATGTTTATCGAATTCTTCCAGTGCTCGTATCCAGCAATGCCCCTCTCTCTGATACTTAAAAACAGCCATATACTGTCCATGTAGACCCATTGAGACTGTATTTGAAAAAAATTAATAAATAAGTATGATATTACAGACGATATTAAATAATTTACTTTGATGTTGCTATTTAAAATGGAAATAAATAACTGAAATATTATCTGAAAACTGTTCACCACATACATAGTGTGAGACAAGGCCCAGAATATCACATGCAGAATTGCTAGGTTATTGATATAGGTGTTATCGGTTACCCTGAGAAAACATAAACTAATCATCTAGCATCATACATTTCTCACATGGCAACGCTTATCATATGATAGCATGGATAATAAAAAGTCATTGATTGCCACTGAGTTTGCACGCGAAGAGGAGTTTCCAAGAAACTATTACTTAAGCTGTTAAACACATCTGTCTGTATATATACTGTATATATATATATATATATATATATATATATATATATATATATATATATATACACACACACATACACACACAAACACAGTTTTTTAATATTATTTTAATGCTATTACAATTTTAAAATAATGATTTTAATACTATTTTATTGTTATTTGTTATTGTTATATTTAATTACTCTTTTTCTTGTCATTACTTGTTTTCTGTATTTTTTGGCAATAATGGACTTTTTATTTTTATTTTTTTAAGAATAGTATACCAGTAAAATAGTAAAATAATCCATGGTCTACCTTGCAGACTTGTGCCACCTGTTGCTTCCAGTGGTTTATGAATCTGATGCACTCATCCAAGCTCCGGAGATCTTTCAGACCTTGCTGACGTTGCCTTTGCTGGAAACAAACACAAAATAATAACCAAGAGTGTGGTGTACAAGTTATTGTGATCATAGCTGAACATTGATCTACCACATAACATCCGTGAGTGATTTAGTATTACCTGTGAACGGGTAGAAAATCCACTAATGTTCTTGAAGGGGCTGGTGGGGGCAGAACTGTGGACCTGAATATCTTTCTCTGATAGTGTCCAGCGCACGACCCCAACAGAGTTACTCTGCTTCTGGAGCACTGCGGGCAGAGGAAAAGAAAGATGGAAGGATTCAGATTTAATTAGTTTTGTATGACTGTGGTTCCAGTTGGAAATGAATGTAATGTGTTACAATTAAACAGAAACACACGCATGCACAACAGACAGCTCTACTTGTGTAATATTAAGAAATAAAAAGAGAACATGTATAAGAGCCATACTGTTGTTCTTCAGGATGCTCTTCACAGTCTTTGCCTGTTCACCTATACAAGAGATATTTTTTTAAAGTTATAACTTTTTTTAGAGGGATGTATTTATATTATCAATGCAAATTAACTTAATAATACTGTTATTATGTTTTACTAAAAATCACAATCTGGATGATGATGAAAAACATAATAATAATAATACAATAACAATAATCATTATTATAATTACTCCTGTTGATAACATAATGGGCTTGATTCCCAAGGAATGCATGAACTCATAAATAGCTTGAATGCAAAATAAGTTGCTTTGGATGAAAGTGTCCGCCAAATGCATAAATGTAATAATAATCACAATATTTCTATCAAAGCAGTTAATAATATTAATTTCTTAGTAATGGCACCTTGTAATTGACATCATGATAAAAGCCATGCGTGACACTCAAATGAGACTTACCCATGATGAAGTGTTGGGGAGGCAAGTGAACGCTGAGGGTGTCTGGTGAAAATGAACGTTGGCGCTCTCTCATCCCTAGTTTTAGTTCATTGCCTGCATAGTCTGGACTTTGGACCTGAATTATTACTGTCATGACTGTATGAGGTGGAGAGCAAGAAAAGCTACGTGATGAGATAAAGTCTTTCCCGGCAATGATTCAGAGAGTAGTCAAAGTGGCATGATGCCAAAAAAGGAGAGTGAATACACTCACACACTGCATATCATGCATGAACTATCATGTTACATGTGCATTTACTGATTCACTGAACACTCACTAACAGATTGTATGTGGAGTTGTTCATCAGATGAACCTTTTGCATAATACTCAAAAGACCTCACATTTGTGTGAGCATCCTTCCTCTGCATGGCTTTAGTAGCCAGTATAAAACATGGATGGTTATGTGACTATAAACAGGTTGTATAACTATCAAAAAATGAATGCTATCCACATGTGAGAGAGTTAAAGGTGTCATATGATGCGATTTCAAGTTTTCCTTTCTCTTTGGAGTGTTACAAGCCGATTGTGCATAGATAAAATCCCTGAAGTTGCAAAGACTAAAGTCTCAAAACCAAAGAGATATTCTTTATCAAAGTTATTTTTATTTCATTTTCCAACTTTTAATTCATGAATCTTTCAAACTGTCCGTATGTTCCCCATGTTTAGTTAATTTTTTCGTGTTAACCAGAAATGATTTGGGGAAATATACTTTATTGCTCCAGTTAAACTGAATTTGATTTGAGGTAGCAAACAGGACGCGGAATTGTAATTTGTATTTTCATTTCAATAGAATTCAAATATAACTACTAAAAAAAAATCACAACGATTATAAGCACTTTCAACTTGACTCATATAAATAAACACAATTAGACTTGCATTTTATACAGAAACATTTAATGTCTATAAAGCCACGAGGAGACATTTCTACTTATTTGTCATTTCAGTGGCATTCTATTTAATCAATTAATTTAATTTCTACACTGTGGGGGAGTTAAAAAGTGTTTGACTTTTGTTTGATGTCAATACATATTTTATAAAGTTAGCTAAAAATGCAATTTTGATGTCTAGAATAAAAATCAAGCTACATAGTTCACATAATAAAAAGACGTCATAACAGAGCAGGCTATAATGCACATGAACTTTAACTGCTGTAACTTCTGTGTCATCTTACCTTTTTTTCCAGAGTTAATGCTATTCCAGAGCTTTAGCACAATTGCACGTCTGAGAAATAATCCCAGAAATCTCTCCTGTTTTTGCATATGCTTTTTTATTGCCATGCTCCAATTACATACACAAAATGAGTAAAAAAAAAATCAGCCTGAGAAATTGTGCATTGGCTTGAAAAATGGTTAGTAGCATTATTCTGATTTTAAGTAGAAGTGGTATCTACTCAGGGGTTTGTGGTTAGGAAGGTTGCAAAATAGATTTTACTTAATCAAAATAGAGGAAAACAATTAAAAGCTCTTTAAAATAAATTTGTATTAATCAATATAAACACCTTTCAAAAGCCATAAAAAATATGGTAACAGACAAATAGTAAAGCCTCTCTCACTCATATGCATTTTTACTGTAACCCTCAATGAATAAAAGCTGATCTTATTTAATAAAGCTGTACATTTGTTTATAATGTAGTATCTCTGTGATCTTATTTAAGCAAATGACAGCTGGTTGAGTACAGTTTATTCTCCGATCATGCAGTGAAGTGCGGGTTAATTCCAGTTTTGGAAAAACTGTTTAAAGATAACAGTCTCTCTGCCCTGTGGTAAAATCTCCACCTGTAAGACAAAAAACATATATAGATTACAGAGGGTCTGGAATCTATTTATGAGGTGAGGGATGGTGTTATAAAATCAAGATTTTTAATTATTTTGCATAATGCCTCAAAAAACTAAAGACAATGAGCATAGAATAGTAAACCATAGAATACTTTTGTAGACCACTGGCAAGATTGTATGCTGCATGAAGTTAGAAGACAGATATTGTACATATCTAATAGTCAATCACTCACCCTCATTATAATCAGAATTTTATGTGCACATAACTTGCAGCACCAAACAGAAGTTCAATCTGTTTAAGCAGTCAAACTAAGCCAGGCACAACAGCATTAGCTGACCTGTGTTTTCATCTTGGGGTAATTCATTTGCTGAATGAAGTCATCTGCCATTTTCAGAGCTGTCCTCTTCTCTTCTGCATTGGCTCCACTTCCTGCCAATGACAAAACAGAACAAAACATTTTACAACAACTTATTTTCGATGAAATACTTCCTTGAAATTGCGCATATGCATGTATGTACACTTCTCCGATCATGCAGTGAAGTGCGGGTTAATTCCAGTTTTGGAAAAACTGTTTAAAGATAACAGTCTCTCTGCCCTGTGGTAAAATCTCCACCTGTAAGACAAAAAACAAATATAGATTACAGAGGGTCTGGAATCTATTTATGAGGTGAGGGATGGTGTTATAAAATCAAGATTTTTAATTCTTTTGCATAATGCCTCAAAAAACTAAAGACAATGAGCATAGAATAGTAAACCATAGAATACTTTTGTAGACCACTGGCAAGATTGTATGCTGCATGAAGTTAGAAGACAGATATTGTACATATCTAATAGTCAATCACTCACCCTCATTATAATCAGAATTTTATGTGCACATAACTTGCAGCACCAAACAGAAGTTCAATCTGTTTAAGCAGTCAAACTAAGCCAGGCACAACAGCATTAGCTGACCTGTGTTTTCATCTTGGGGTAATTCATTTGCTGAATGAAGTCATCTGCCATTTTCAGAGCTGTCCTCTTCTCTTCTGCATTGGCTCCACTTCCTGCCAATGACAAAACAGAACAAAACATTTTACAACAACTTATTTTCGATGAAATACTTCCTTGAAATTGCGCATATGCATGTATGTACACTACACTGAAAAGTTTGGGGTCGGTACGATGTTTAAAATGTGTACGATGTTTTTTTGTGCTCACCAAGGCTGCATTTATTTGATCAAAATACAGTAAAAGCAGTAATACTGTGAAATATTACTACAATTTCAAAGAATCGTTTTCTACTGTAATATTTCAAATGCAATTTATCCCTGTGATTGCATAGCTACATTTTCAGTAGCCATTACTCCAGTCTTCAGTGTCACATGAGCCTTCAGAAATCAATTCAATATGATGATTTGGTACTCAAGAAACATTTATTGCTGAAAACAGTTGTGCAGCTTTATTTATTTCTTTATTCATTTTTGTGAAAACTGTGAGACTTTTTTGAGAATTCTTTGATGAATAGAAAGTTCAAACAAACAGAATTTATTTGAAATAGATTTTTTTTGTAACAATGTAGAAGTTTTTTACTGTCACTCTTGATCAATTGAAAGCATCTGTGCTGAATAAAAGGTATTCATTTCTTTAAAAAAAAAAAAAAAACATTTATTGCTGAAAACAGTTGTGCAGCTTTATTTATTTCTTTATTCATTTTTGTGAAAACTGTGAGACTTTTTTGAGAATTCTTTGATGAATAGAAAGTTCAAACAAACAGAATTTATTTGAAATAGATTTTTTTTGTAACAATGTAGGAGTTTTTTACTGTCACTCTTGATCAATTGAAAGCATCTGTGCTGAATAAAAGGTATTCATTTCTTAAAAAAAAAAAAAAAAAAAAGGTTAATTTACCAGACACATACAGGCCAAACTAAACTATTTTAGCTGCATTCTAAGTTATTAGGATAAACATACACAATTTTCTTACCTTTCCAAACAAAGATTTTTCCATTGGCCCCATTGTCCAGGATAAAGCAGTCATCACGTACCAGCAAGTCCTTGGCAAATGGACTTTTCTCTGACACCTTGGTCAACTTCATCGACCCTGTTGCATCTGAAACCTATGAAGAATTGACCATTTTTTCATACTTGATGCACATGAAATGGAATGACAAGGTATGTTTTTGTAGACCTTTAAGGAAATTTCATCCATAATAGGTATGGATGAGATACCTAATGGCTAGGATTCATTCTAACACACACATACAGTCCTATGGATTTTCCACAATTTAGATGAATAAATACAAGGTTAATTGTGGGTTGTAGTACCTTGTAGAGGGAGGCAATATTGGATGCATCTGCTTGACTGTCCTCCTCTGGAGTGCTTTCTTTCAGCTCTGGCATTGGACCAAGAACCTTTTTTTTTTGTAACAGAAGACAGAAAAGATTTTTTGCTTTAATTTGAGTGCAAATAAATAAAAAATAAATAAACAAATCAACACCCACAAACTTAACCTTCTTAACCTGACACTGCTTCCGGGTCCAAACCTCTTCATTTCAACAGCCTTTATGAGCATTATATATTTATATCACACTTTTAAGCTAAGCTTTTAAAAACTCAGTGTACACTAGTCTCCGGCCACAAATATACTTTTTTTTTCATAATATACACAATAATTCAGAAACGGTTAATCACTGTCTGGCCTGAGATTTCAGTATGGAGATAGAGGGTAGAATCGTGACATTTTAGGTAGCATTACAGCACTCGGTGAATGTACTTTAGCACAATTTGTTGTTTCCTTATGGGTACTGAGGGAGTTTTTAGACAAGGGAACTGTGACAGGTGATTTCAGACAACCGGGGACTGAACTGCACTGCAAAAAAAAAAATCTGTGACATTTACAGTAAAATACCGGCAGCTGTGGTTGCCAGAACTTCACCGTAAAAAATATGGTAGCAATATTTTAGGTTTTACAGACTTAACTTAAATTAACAATAAAATACCGTATTTCATTAACTGATGTAATGTTAATAAACCAACATATTGAAGTGTTAATATCTGTTTTGAACCATTGTAATGCACTGATAACCACCAAAAACAGGTGGTGATGAGAAAGTCACATGATGAACCAAAGCTCATCACAAACAGCTTTTCTATGAGCTGAGGAGGGCAATACTTATATATAGAAGGTGCACACAGTGTCATTCACACAAACATTAAACCCCATCATGGTACACACATGATACTGAAATAATGCAATAAACATTAATTAATTTAACAACATTAGATGTAAGATATACACCCTAATGTACACAACTGATAAGAAAAAAACTAAGAAGAAACATGTTATTTCAACAACAAAAAAAGTGTCATGCAGGGAATTCTGGGAGTATCAATTTACGGTTTTTCACTGTAAATTATACAATGTTTTTTTTTTTCACTTCCAAAAACTATATTTTTAACAGTATTTTACTGTAAAATTACATTAAATGTAATTACATTTATTCACCGTATATAGTATGGAAACTTACTGTTAAAAAGTTAACAGGTTTTTACTCTAGCATTTTTACAGTCTTTTACTGTTAAAATCACAATAATTTTTTACAGTGTGGGATTCTAGAGAAGTGTAAAAAAAATTTTTGTAGAAGTTTTTTTTGGCAAAATACACTGGCATGTTGTTACCTGTAGCATTTCCTGTGTCTCCTCTCCCTCACTGATGTTAGTGATCTGGGCTTTGCCGTGTCTCTCTGTGTCTCTGATCAGAGCGGCGATCTCCCTCACCTTCTGCTTCTCAAAGATGTTTGCCTGAGATCCTATCCATGACACAATCGTCTGCAGAATAAAAAGATTTAGATATTCATTTCAAATAAAAGCTACATGGTTTGAAATATTGTTACAATTGAACTGTTTTATAATTTAAGATTTTTAAAATGTCATTTATTCCAGTAAATGTCAGCCATCTTCAGTGTCACATGATCCCTCAGAAATCATTCTAATAAGCTCATTTGGTGATCAAGAAACATGAACTAATTATCATCAGTGTTGAAAACAGTTGTGGTGCTTAATATTTTTGTGAAAACTGTACAAAATGTTTTCCAGGACATTTTGATGAATGGGAAATTCAAAAGATCAGTATTTATTTGAAACATTTTATAGCATTATAAATGTCTTTACTGTCACTTTTGATCAATTTAATGCATTCTTGCCGAATAAAAGAATTAATTTCTTTAAAAAAAAAAATGTTACTGACCCCAAACTTTTAAATGGAAGTGTACGACGTATATAGTCAATAGACATACACAAATACACACACCTCGCCCAGGTCGAGTATGAAGCAGTCCCCTTTGTTAAAGCTCTGCCAGCTCAAACCCACTTCTTTGGCTCTGATGTTACGCTTCCCTTTGATTTGGTATAACCTCTGAACGGGTCCAGATCCAGACTGCGTTCTTCTGAAGCCAGACTCCACACCTCCCTCCTGTAGAAACAAAAGAGTGTGACTTTGCAAAGAACATAAACGCTTTTAATTTAATTATGCATAGAGTATAACTATTACAATCAGTTTATTTTTATTTCAAGTCTGTTTGTATATATGTGCTCTCTCAGAAAAAAAGTTATAAAACTGTCATTGGAGCAGTACCCTTTCAAATGGTACGCAGGCTATTATGAACACTTTAGGTACTAATATGTACATTTAAGTTAGTATTTTGTACCTCTTAAGGATAAATAAGGTAGAAAGATGTAGCTTTTTTACTTTAGGGTACCACTCCAGTGGCAGCTTCGTACCTTTTTTCCTGTGTGGTTGTGTGTGTTAACATTATCTCATATCTCACCTTATAGCTGACACCTCGGGGGAAGAGGTTCATGAACTCTGGGGACTCGTAGCCTTGAACCTGCCTGTGCTGGACCGGATCTCCACCCAGGAAGTTATCCAGCTGTGTAGCCAACATGGCACAAGCTACCTGTTCATCACGAGACGATTTTTCTCCTAAAAAGGAGAAAGAAGAAGAGAGAACATGAATATATATTCAACCTTTTCAACATAATATGGAATTCACATACATAATTCAGTTTACAAACATCCTCTTTTACATGCCAGTAAAAAAGTCAGCGAAAACAGACAAGAGAAAGCAATGAGGCATAACAGCTAAATCATTCCGTCAGCATGGTTGCCCCTGGAAACGACGTGTGTGTTAACACTCATGCAATATTGCACAGTTCAGCCCTGTGTGAGATGCCTCCAACGCAACCACTTCCTCTATCTGCACAATTAGACTTTGAGCAACAGTTTTTCGGTCTGATAAACCAAATGCTGTGCTGTTTGACCTAAATGAAAAGCAGTTTGTTGTAGTTCTGGGCGATTAACCAAATTTTATTTTCAATCACGGTGAATATTTATTTATTAATTTATTTAACATTGTTTGTATTTGTTTTTCAACACAAGTATACTTTA